CAACCAGAGCTGATTCGCCAGCATGCCTCGAACCGGAACCAACATAGCTCATGACCGTACAATTATCTAATCACTAGCAAACTCCCCAACTTGGCTCGAAACCATATATCAAGACACACTCAACAACTCATAACACTTTTACTCTAATGATGCCACAATACCACGGTGAGATTAAACTCAAATCATTTACAAGTTTGTGAAAACACAGATCATCTAGTACTGTAATCCTCTGCAGATCTCGCATTCATCCCCACATCAGTTGAGTCCACTCTCTTAAGCGACCCGAATTTTCAAATTTCAACACGTACCCTTCAATTACAAATGAGATCTTCTAACATACACATAAGGACCATACCACTTAAGAACACTCCGCAGGAGATAACCCACCTGCTTCGCCTCAATTTAGTATTTCAGCATACCTTCCACCGTCATACACATTACACAGTCATTTAGTCTTCCTGGGTCTGAACTCATACCGCCACATGTAATGCACTTCACTCCCCAACTAGGAGACACGAAAATGTTCTCACGCGCCCATACTCAGGCTACACATCAAATCACAATAGGAAACGAACACTTAACAATTCATCTATTATCCAGCAGACTTCTTTGTCACTACCAAGTCATATAGATACATCTCGCAGTACTAACATACTCATCACATGGATATCCAACTGCCATTCCGGCTAATAGGGACAATACCGAACATATAAGTTCAAAACACTTGCTCACACAATCAACACCTCGGTGCTCAAGCCATAGGCAAGATCCGGCCTCAAGTCCTCCAGACTGGCCCAACATCAAACTCACAGAGATCACATCTCGCCCCTTGATCGAGGAATCACAAGCCATCAAGGCACATCTGATACTGAGCGCTCATGTGTGCTTAGGAACGCGTGGAAGGAATTTCAAGAGTTTCTTTTCAAGCTGAATCAAGGATGCACGATAAGAATTCAAGAAGGTGTAGTTTTTCCTAAAGGTTCTGCAGCCTCTCGAGGATAAATAAAGACGTCTCCGTAGCGATCCCCGAGACTCTACTAAACCTACTCATGACTCGTGAGACCTAGTAACCTAGGCTCTGCTACCAACTTGTCACGACCCAAACCCCGTTCCGGTCGTGATGGCGCCTCTCGTGAAGACAAGGCCAGCCAAACCATTTCAGAACACCACTTTTAAGCAGTTAATTAGTTAAATAACAGTTCGAATATGATTTAATAATATTAATTAACGTAATTATAACCCAACACAGCCCGACTAGGGTTCACAAGTCACGAGCATCTATAAGAATGAAATTTCCACTTTACAGTCTAGAAATACACTGAACAAGAATAATGAATAACATAGAAAGACAGTGGTGCTGCGAACGTTTGGCAGTCACCTCGCTAAAACCTCTACAACTCTGCCTCCACGCAGCCAATACCCGCTACCGGGTGAATAAATACCTGCAACTGCACGCGAGGTGCAGGGAGTAAAGTGAGTACTCCAACTCAGTGAGTAATAAAGGTAAATAATAACTGAGCAGCAAGAAATCACGTAAAGCAACCAACATGCTATATAAAAGCCGGGTACAATTTTCTGAGAAAATAGTGTAATCTGTGAAATCTTTAGAAATACCTTGGCTCAGTTCAAATCTCTTTTGAAAATGATCTTTTCAATAATTACAAAAACGATTTCAAAATAGTTAGTGCTGATAAGCACAGAAAAGTCCGCCCCTCAGGCACAAATACCACAGTATAACAGGTAACAGGCAAATAAATATGCAAGATAAGCACATAAAAGTCTGCCCCTCGGGCAATCCCTCAAAAACAGTACCAGCCCCTTGGGCTCACTCTCAACAACACTCTTAGAACAGTATCACATAGTAGCCGCTGCGGCGTGCAGCCCGATCCACATATCGCTGCGGCGTGCAGCCCGATCCATAGCTCGCTGCGGCGTGCAGCCCGATCCATATGGGTACCCGCGCTCACTGTGGGGGTGCAGACTCGGGAGGGGCTCCTACAGCCCAAGCGCTATATCACTACGCCGTGCAGTCCGATCCAATATATACATACTGCTGCGGCGTGCAGCCCGATCCATATAATATACTGTTGCGGCGTGCAGCCCGATCCATATATAATCCTCACATCCAGGCCCTCGGCCTCACATCACTCAGTGTATCCTCACATCTGGCCCTCGGCCACACTCAGTCAGAATATCATCACAAGCCCCTCGGGCATTAGTAAAATAGTAGTCCTCAGCCTAAATTATCATTTAAGACTAAAATCTGAGTAAAAGTGGCTGAGTTGTAAAATAGTGGAGAAACAATATGACTGAGTTCAAGTAATAAGTCAAAACAGTGAGGAAGTAGTGAAAATAACCCTCGAAGGGTTCAAATAATTGGCACGAAGCCCAAATATGGCAATCAGCCCAAATCATGATAATTACAAATATGTTCCAGTCAAATACGCGGTGAAAATCATTAATCGGGACGGACCAAGTCACAATCCCCAACGGTGCTCTACCCCACGCTCGCTATCCGGCGTGTAAGTCACCTCATTATAGCACTATGGTGCGCAAATTCGGGGTTTCAAACCCTCAGGATATCATTTACAATCATTACTCACCTCGAACCGGTGAAATCTCTAGCTCGCGACGCCCTTGCCCATCAAATCGGCCTCCACGCGCGTCGAATCTATCCAAAATCAGAGCGAATACATCACAATAGGCTAAGGGAACATAACCCAATCGAAAAGAATCGAAAAACATCAAAAATCACGAAATTTGCAAAACCCGAGCCCCAGGCCCACTTCTCGACAAATCAGAAAATTAACATCAGCGGATTCCTTATCTCGCCACGAGTTCATACATACCAAGAACTCTCTAATCCGAGCTCAAATGACCCATCAAATCCCAATTTGAAATATCAAAAACTCAAGCCCTAGTTCATCAATTTTAGGCTTAATTTCCATGAATTTCTAGGTAAATTTCACATAATAATCGTGTTTCAAGGTCATATAACTCACCTCCAATCAATCCCAGTCGAAATCACCTTCAATTCCCGTCCAATAGCTCTTAAGGTTGTTCAAAAATGGTGGAAAATATCCCAAGCTCGCGGATGAAATGTTATTTAAAAACCCTTCTGCCCAGGCCTTTTTCCGCTTCTGCGACCCAGATACCGCATATGCGGTTACCGCTTATGCGGCAGTTCCTCCGCTTCTGTGGATTCTCCAAAATTCCTCAGGACTGCTTCTGCGGTCATTTCCCGCTCCTGCGGACACCGCATCTGCGGGAATACGCCCGCTTCTGCGAAATTCCTCCAATTGGTCCAGTCCGCACCTGCGACCCCTTCTTCGCATCTGCGGAACCGCATTTGCGGTCCCTTTTCTGCAGATGCGGAAATACCAGATACCAGCTGACCTTTAACATGCAAAAATTCCAAAACTCTCCGTTTAACCATCCGATCTTACCCCGAGGCCCCCGGGACCTCGACCAAAAACAAAAACATGATCCAATACCTTATTTAAACTTGCTCCAATCATCAAAACACCACGATTAACACTAAAACCATTAAATTACATCAAATCCAAGCCTAAGTTCTTCAAATTCTTCCGAAACTCGCATTCGATCAAAAACCCAACCAAATCACCTCCGAATCACCTGAAATTTTGCACACATATCCAAAATCACCTAACGAAGCTACAACAACTCTCGGAATCCCATTTCGACCCTCGGATCAAAATCTCACCTATCGACCGGAATTCGCCAANCCCAAGCGCAATAATCAAGCCATCTCGTGGCATCAACCAGGCCCTCGGCCTCAATATCAATACAGTACCGCTGCGGCGTGCAGCCCAAGCCAACCATATGTCCAGAAATCACTATAACACTGCTGCGGCGCGCAACCCGATCCATGCTCAGTCCAGAAATGCACATAAGCCACTTGGGCAATATTAAAATAACAATTCTCAGCTCAAAACGTAAATAAAATGTTGTTTAAGTTTTCAAATCTTAGAAAATTGGCTGAGTTTGCAAATCAGTATTAAAACCCTGGACCGAGATCAAATAGTATGCAAAATAATGCGAAAACAGTAATATCAATCCCTGAAGGATTCACATAGTTGGCACGAAGCCCAAACATGGCAATCAACCCAAATTATGATGATAACAAGTAGTTTCAGTCAAATACGCGGTAAAAATCAACAATCGGGACGGACCAAGTCACAATCTGTGCTCTACCCCACGCTCATATCCGGCGTGCAAGTCACCTCAATACAGCACTATGATGTGCAAATCCGGGGTTTCAAACCCTCAGGATATCATTTACAAGTATTACTCACCTCGAACCGGCGAAATCTCTGGCTCGCGACGCCTTTGCCCCTCAAATCGGCCTCCACGCGCGTCGTATCTAACCAAAATCACAGCGAATACATCACAATATGCTAAGGGAACAATACCCCATCGAAAACAATCGAGAAATAGCAAAAATCTCGAAACTAGCAAAACCCGAGCCCCGGGCCCACTTCTCGAAAAATCACAAAACTTACTTTACCGGATTCCTCGTCTCGCCACGAGTCCATACATACCAAGAACTCCCAAATCCGAGCTCAAATGACCTATCAAATCCCAATTTGAAATATAAAAAAAAACTCAAGCCCTAGCTTTACCCCTTTTGATCGAATTTTCAACCAATTTTCCCATGTTAAATCTATCATAATCTCGTGTATTTAGGCCAAGGGACTTACCTCTAATCGATTCCCAGTCAAAACTCCCTTTAATTCTCGCCAAAAGCTCTCAAGGTCGCGCAACAATGGAGGGAAATATACCAAGCTCGCGGATGAAATATTCAATAAAAACCCTTTATGACCAGTCCGGTTTTCGCTTCTGCGGTCCCGCTTCCGCTTATGCGGCCAAATCCCCGCTTCTGCGGATATTCGTTTAAAATGCCAACACCGCTTCTGCGACTACCCATCCGCTTCTGCGGACCCGCTGATGCGAATAATGGTCCGCTTCTGCGGAATTACCTTACCACCACAGGGACCGCTTCTGTTGTGAGCCCTCCGTTTAAGCACCTCCGCTTCTGCGGTCCAAGACCCGCAGAAGCGAGAATACCAGATGCAGCAAACCTTCAGCAATATGCAAACTCCCAAAACTCTCCGTTTAACCACCCGAACTCACCCCGAGGCCCCCGGGACCTCAACCAAAAGCACAAACATGGTCCAATACCCTATTCAAACTTGTTCCAATCCTAAAAACACATCCTACAACACAAAAATCCTCAATTCTCATCAATTTCAAGCCTAAGTTCTTCAAATTCTTCCGAAACTCGCATTCGATCAAAAACCCAACCAAATCACCCCTGAATCATCTGAAATTTTGCACACACATTAAAAATCACCTAACAATGCTACTGCAACTCTTGGAATTCCATTCCGACCCCCGGATCAAAATCTCATCTACCAACCGGAATTCGCCAAAATGCTAACTTCGCCAATTCAAGCCTAATTCTACACCGGACCTCCAAAATAAATTTCGATCACACTCCTAAGTCACAAATCATCCCCTGAAGCTAACCGAATCACCGGAAATTGCATCCGAACCCTCTAACTCAATAGTCAACACACGGTTGACTTTTCCAAAACAAGCCTTCCTTAAAGAGACTAAGTGTCTCATTTTCTACCAAAATCAATCCAAATCAACTCTAACACACCAAATACTGATAATGAAACATGAAAAAGCATAAGAATGGGGGAAACGGGGCAGTAACTCCTGAGACGACGGGTTGGGTCGTCACATACTTGAAGTCAGGTCTTGTTTAATCTGCTTGGTATGTATGAGGTTAAATTCTTTTAATCACTTTGGAATGTTTTCCTTCTGGAGTTGAATGGGTAATTCTTGGCTTTCTATCTTTGATATTCCTATATTCAGATTGTGTAGTGCTCACAAGCTTATGCAACAGGGATTTTAAAAAATATATATGTGCACATTTAGGAAAACAAATAGTATTTTTAGATGTAACAGTGTTATACATACACAACATAACATAAGTTCAGTACTAAAGGAGTTTAACAAATTAATCACCTCCATGCAGTCGACCAATCCTGTAATAGTTTTAACTTCTACAATTCCAGTAGCCAACTCATCAGAAACAGAATAACTACGCTGAGAAGGTATTTGACTGATCCTGAAAGAGTTAGCTTCATTCACACTTGCCAATCTGTATTTACACAAGGTTGTATTAGTTTTAACAATAAATTATTTTTTTTTAATATCCACATAAACTTAATTTATCAAATAACTAACCTAGACTTAAAATCAAAAACTTGAGGAAGATCCGGGTTAATCCAAAGCTTTGAGGCATTGAGGAAGATCCGGGTTAATCCAGAGCTTTGAGGCATGCCAAGTATTACGCACAGAATATTTGCCTATATGTAACTTTAGTTTATGAACCAAAAAATTAACATAAAATAAATATTCCATGTCATCAAGACAATAGAAATACCTTGAATTTATGAGCTTTTATCAGCTGCATAACAACTATGACTGGCTGATGGGGTGATCCCTCTAAATGTGTCAAGATCTGGTCTACGAATTCTCCCCAAAATGTTGCCAAGGTATTATTCCTCCTGCATAATTTATATAACAACTTGATCAGACAGCGATAAGTAATATTGTTAAAATATATAACAAAGTAAATTCATATACACAATCTTACTCATGATCTTCAAGTTCCACATTCATGAAAGTGCTGGTCTTATTACCTTGGTTATGTGATTCTACTTTACCATAACTTACAACCTCTCCAATAACATCTATAATAATTTTAAAAAATGGCCAGGACAAAGTTGATAACGCAGTTCAAATAAAAGAACTGCGAATGGAATACTTACCGAAGAGTTCACTTTCTTCAACATCAATTTTGTTTATCAAATACTCATACGGTCTTAAGTCGAAGATACCCATACCAAAAAGATGATCATTTGATTCCTCTACAATCATCTTATGAGTAAATGCCAACTTCAATTATGCCGCGTGTATTTAAGTTTCATATTATTTGGTCCAACCACAAAGTTCTTCATAAAGTACAAACCCAATTCCTTTATCTTTAGTTTGAACATATGTATAAGAGACAGACCAACAGTCGCATGAATTCGATCGCCCTAGAAGCAAATAATTCATAAATAATATTGAGTCAGACAAATACTCAGTTGTGCAGTGTTGTCATAGATTATATTAAACAATCGAGCATCAATGGGTAAAACATAATAAGTGAATGCTTGCCTTTCCAAAATAACACATATTGCATATTTTATGGTAAGTACTGTTCATATGAAAATAATCTTAGATATTTTATTGTCTAAGATCTCCAAAAAAGTTCTCGCACATAAAATACTAAAAAAATTCTCTAGAACAAACTACAAAAGATTCCAAGTTGACCAAATATCTTTTCTACCAAAACTGCAGATTAAGAGTTTGCATCATTCATACCTCATTATCAAATAAGGAAAAGCCGGTTAAGAACTATATATGTAATCCCATTACTAAATTAAATCTTTTATTATTCGAGGTATCTCCATCTAGATCATAAAAACTGAAATAAAATGTGTAACCTAATGGATTTCATAGTACAAAGCAGAAGATGGAGATTGTAGTCAAATTGGTTGAAAAAATAAATGCAACTAAAAAAGAATGCACCTTTTTGTCTTGAATTTCAAGGGAGACGGTGTTGTCTGGTTTGTCGCAGTCTGGAACATGCCACAATCTCACTACTCGTACCTTCAAATTCCAATTCATCTTGTTACTCGATATATTGCTGATATAGTCAAATGCCGTCATATTTCTTCTTAGAGAAAATTTGATAAGAGGATTGTTTGTAGTAAAGTATATGCTCGGTGCAGCTATATATATTTGCATAATCTTATTTACTTTGTATAAATAAGAAACAAAATACGTGTGTTTAGGGGCATTATATTTATGAAAAATAAATTTCCATAAAAAGATCCGTAAAATATGTGATCAGCCCATAAAATGTAACTAATTTAGGGGCATTAACTTTATGAAAAATATATTTCCATAAAAAGAGTCCAAAAATGTGTGATCCAGCACATAAAATTGGTTTTTTTATTTTACCCTATTTCACTGACCAAACAAAGATCAATTCTTTCAAAAATATTCCTGCTAGATCATTTAATTGAATAAATTTTACCCTACGCCTACTATTGAATATTACCAGAGCAATTAACACTGGAGCAAATCCGCTCCCAGAAATTTTGAATTTCAAGCAAGTAATTTAGGGTTTATATCTAAAATTAAGGAGGAAAGTCATCTGCACAAACATACCTCGAATTGAATTTTGGTTGGAGAAGATAAAATGTAATAGCTGCTGGGAAATCGTGAATCTTTTCCAAGTAGAAATCCCTCAATTTTAGATAATAAAGATCAGATGTAACGACCCGATGCTCATCAGTTCTCGGGCATGACTTGCCCCGTATGATGTATTAAGACTTATGCAAATTGTTGGTTTTGGTTTTCAGGGTAATCGGAATGAATTTGGAAGAACAGTTCTCAGTTTGAAGCTTGAAATTTGAAAGGTTTGACCAAGATTTGACTTATTTGTATATGATCTCGGATCGGAATTTTTATGACTTGGTTAGATCCGCTAGGTGATTTGGGACTTAGGAGCGTGACCGGAATGCATTTTGGAAGACCGTGGAAGGTTTAGGCTTGAATTGGCGGAATTGAGATTTTTGTGTTTCCCGGTTGATAGGTGAGATTTTGATATAGGGGTCGGAATAAAATTCCGGAAGTTGCAATAGCTCCATTGTGTCATTTGTGACGTGTGTGCAAAATTTCAGGTCATTCGGACGTGGTTTGGTTGGGTTTTTGATCAAAAGCGTAATTCGGAAGTTCTTGAAATTCTTAGGCTTGAATCCGATGTGAATTTGGTGTTTTGATATTGTTTTGAGTGTTCCGAAGGTTGGAACAAGTTTGAATGAGGTTTTGGGATATGTTGGCATGTTTGGTTGAGGTCCCGGGGGCCTTGAGTAAGTTTCGGGTGGTTGAACGAATCAAATCTTATTGTGGAGAGTTGCAGATTTTCTAATGTTGGTGTTGCAGACTTTTGGCCTTCGCGTTCGCGAGAAGGCTACCGCGTTCGCGTAGGGATGCGTGATGAAGCTGAGAATTTGGCCTTCGCATTCGCGATGTTGGTCCCGCGTTCGCGTAGGGTGAGGTCCTGAGTGCTTCGCGAACGCGATGAGGTTCCCGCGTTCGCGTAGAGTAAATGGAGCAGCTGGGGTCCTAGCCCTTTTGTGCTTCGCGTTCGCGATTAAGAGGTCGCGTTCGCGATGGTATGGGAAGCGGAAGCTTCGCATTCGCGAGAGGGTCTCACGTTCGCGTAGAAGGAAATTTTGGTCTGTGAAGCAGTGTGCTTCGCGAACGCGAGGGATATGTCCGCGTTCGCGATGAAGGAAAATCTGGGCAGACAGTTTATATTTTAAAATCGAGGGTTTAAGTCCAATATCATAAAAACCATTGGAGAGCTCGGGAGAAGGTGAAAATTGAGGAGATTTTCAGTGGAGCTATTGGGGTAAGTAATCTTCACCCATATTTGGTTTAATTCCATGATTTAGTCTTGAAATTCATCATTTAATTTGAGAAATTAGAGTGAAAATTGGGGAAGAATGGAAGAAAAAGTTGAGAATTCTTTTGAGGATTTGAATGGGCATTTGATGTCCGATTTTGATGTTCTTGGTATGTATAGACTCGTGTGAGGACGAGAATTCTATTGATGTGACTTTTGTCAGATTCCGATATGTGGGCCCGGGGGCCGGGTTTGAGCAATTTTGGGATTTTTTATGTGAGTTGGATATTTTCGAGTGGGCTTCGTTCCCTTAGTATATTTGAATGATTATGTTCTGATTGTGGCTAGATTTTGAGTATCCGGAGGTCGATTCGTGCGGGCAAAGGCATCGCGGGCTAGAGTTTGGACCGGATCGAGGTGAGTAATGATTGTAAATGATGTTCTGAGGGTTCGAAACCCCGGATTGCCTATCGTAGTGCTATATTGAGGTGAGGCACACGCTTGATGATGAGCGTGGGGTCGTGCACTATTGGGGATTGTGACTTGGTCCGTCCCGATTGATGATTCTTCCGCGTATTTAAGTTAAATCTATTTTTTATCATTATTATTTGGGCTAAATGCCATATTTGGGCTTCGTGCCAATTATTTGAACCCTTCGGGGATTTTTGTTGATATTTCCTCATTGTTTTGACTTTATACTTGAACTCAGTCATGTTATTTTCCGCTGTTTTCAAAACTCAGCCATGTTCACTCAGTTTTAATACTCAAATGATAGTTAAATGATGTTTTGGGCTGAGAAACACTGTTTTACTGTTGCCCGAGAGGCTTATGTGATTTTGACTGAGTAAGGCCGAGGGCCTGTGTTGTGAGGATATCTTTTGGGTCGGGCTGCACGTCGCAGCGGTGATACACTGATTTTGATAATGTGGCCGAGGGCCTGAGATTGTACGCCACGAGGTGGCTTGATATTGATATGAGGCTGAGAGCCTGTTTATGATGCCACGAGATGGCTTGATATTGCGCTTGGGCCGTAAGGGGCCCCTCCAGGAGTCTGCACACCCCCAGTGAGCGCGGGTAACCGTTGTGATGTGAGATATATCCCGAGGGGCTGGTATGGTTCTATGTGATTACCCGAGGGGCTGGTATTGTTCTATCTGATTGCCCGAGGGGCTGGTATTGATCTAAGATATTGCCCGTGGGGCGGAGTTGTTGACATCGTGCCCGAGGGGCAAACCTTTATGTGTTTATCTGTCTTATTTACCTGTCATTTACCTGTCTAGTTGTGTAATTGTGCCCGATGGGCGTATTCCTTATGCTTATCTGTTCTAGTTGCTTCGCATTAAATTGCTCAATTGTTGAAAAGCCATTTTTGAAGAAGTTTAAACTGAGCTAAGACGCTTTAAGAGATTTCACAGCTTCATTGCTTTGTTACTGGTTTTGTACTACTTCTATGCACCATGTTGATGCACTTTTCGTGATTTCTTATCGCTCAGTCTTTATTCATGATTATTACTCACTGAGTTGGAAGTACTCACTTTAGTCCCTACACCTTGTGTGCACATTCAGGTATTTTTTGAACCCGGTAGCGGGTATTGGTTGATCGGAGGCAGAGTCATCGGAGTTTAACAAGGTAGCTGCCGGCGTTCGCAGCACTGCTTTTCTCCCTCTTTATTCTATTAGTTTATACTTAGTAAACTTCCGACTTTGTCAGTGGTATTTAGACCTTAGTAGATGCTCATGACTAGTGATACCTCGATTTGGGCTGTGTTTGGGTTGTACTTCCGCATTGTTATGATATTATATGCTACTTAGTGCTATTAAATCATGTTTTAGCCTGTTTTATTGTTGTTTAGCTGTTTAACTTCGAATTGGAAATGTGTCGGATGGCCTTGTCTTCACGAGAGGTGCCATCACGACCGGGTCTAGGTTTAGGGTTATGACAAGTTGGTATCAGAGCCTAGGTTACATAGGTCTCACAAGTCATGAGCAGGTTTAGTAGAGTCTCGCGGATCGGTGCGGAGACGTCTGTATTTATCCTCGAGAGGCTGCAGAACCTTTAGGAAAAACTTCACATTCTTGAATTCTTATCGTGCGTCCTTAATTCAGCTTGAAAAGTAACTCTTAAAATTCCTTCCACGCATTCGTATGCGCGAACAAGCGCTCAGTATCAGATGTGCATCGATGGCTTGTGATTCCCTGATTGAGGGGCGAGGTGTGATCTCTATGTGCTGATGTTGGGCCAGTCTGGAGGACTCGAGGCCGGATTTAGCCAATAGCTTGAGCACCGAGGTGCTGATTATGTGAGCCATGTTTTTGAACTTATATATTCGGTAGTGCCCCTATTAGTAGAAGTGATGGCTGGATAGTTACGTGATAAGTGTGATGTGACTGCGAGACGTATTCGTATGATAGAGAAGCGACAAGAAGGGTCTGCTGGAGGATAGAAGAACTATTAGGTGATTGATTTCCATCTTGATTTGAGGTATAGTCCCGAGTTATGGGCGTGTGAAGAATCTTTACATGTTTCCTAGTTGAGAGTGGAGTAAATTTCATGTTGCGGTATGAGTTCAGACTCAGGAAGACTAAGTGACTGCGTAATGTTTGCGACGGTGAAAGGTATACAGAAATGTTAGTTGGAGGCAAAACAGGTGGGTTATCTCTTGCGGAGTGTTCGGAAGTTGTGTGATCCTTACGGTGTCTGTTAGAAGATCCCATTTTTAGGTGAAATATATGTGTTGAAATTTAAATTTGGGGTCGCTTAAGAGAGTGGGTTTAGCTGTTGTGAGAGTGAATGCGGGATTTGCAGAAGATTTGAAGTACTAGATGGTTTGTGTTTCACGAGCTGATGAAGGGTTGAGTTTAATCTCACTATGGTATTATGGCAGCAATAGAGTATATGCATTATGAGTTATTGTGTGTGTTTCGATCTATGGCATCAAACCAAGTGGGTGAGTCTTCTATTGAGTTGTTGTTGGTAAGGAATGCTCGGTGTATAGAGCAGGAAGTTGCTTGGTTGCACTGGGATGAGGTTATATTGTGCGGTGTCGGAGTGCTAATGAGGCACGGGTTGTTCGGTTCATTTGATTGGGCTAATTGTAGTTTGAGTAGAGTGGTTGACTCTAGAGAATGGTTCTAATGCGTTCAAGATTTTTCATGAAAAGTGGAAATTTTCGAGTTGTATTTTTGGCTAGAAACTGTGTTTTCATTGAAGATGTCAAGACTTGTGGTATTCTCTATATTAATTATGGGATCC